TTACAGTAAACACAGATCATACTGGAGATCTATGTGTTATCCTTAATTTGGCCACCGTTTCCATCGCTCGTTGGAAAATGTCGAGTGCTGGTAAATATGTTTCGATCAGGTAGAGACGTAATGTACTTCATCTGAACCGAGTCTAGTAAGCTAACCGAACTATCAGTTTTGCGGTTCTTTCAAGTTCTGCACTTACCGGTCCATGAATCTTCCTCTGAATGAGTCTGAAAATACATAGATTCAGCCTAGTGTGGGTTATCCTGTAGCCTTAGTACGATAGTGAATGTGCAACCATCAGTCGTGAATAGTCACTTGGAAAAGCGTCATCTTCTTGTAAAATTCCGTAACACTGCAGTGCCAGAAATATCAACAAAGAGCACAATGGAACGGATAAGGCTGTCAGCTAATCAGATGTTTCTGTTAGAGTCTGGAATCCATGGTGTGAAAACTCAGTTTTGAATTTAGCTAAAGTTGTATACTTTGACATACGAACCGACTGGCGACTGAAATTTTTACTAGCTGAGGCGAAATTACCCACTGTTTAGGTCGCATCTTTTACGAAGAAAAGACTGCAGTACGTAGCAGAGAAGGCAACCCAAAGAGACGTTCCAAGGAGCCTACAATCGCTGATATGATTGTGTGGATGGGATTAGCCAGGCGGAATGTGGACCTGGAAATTTCTCATGCAGTAAAGCTACTTATGCCCGCAGTTCCTTACCTGTGAAGAAATTCGAAACTGGTAACTGTTTTCTGGACAAAAATCGAAGTTGTCAAAATGCACTACTTTGTCTACTGGTTAAACTAATACATATTCAGCGAATATACACTCATTTGCAAACTAATTTGGTTTTTGAGAGACTCACCTGGAAACCGGTTGAATCTTTCGGTTTTGATGTTTCCAGGCGAAACCGGTCTTGGGCTGTCGAGGAGTTTTCAGTAACCTTATGAGTAATACAGTATAAAAATAATACACATTTCTTACAATAGATGTGAAGTTAACTGAGCTTCGCAAAAAACATGAATATCTTAATGTGGAGTCAATGTAGGTTCATTTCAACTGATTCAAACAATAATGAAGGTGTTCAAATGACCAGCCAAAGAATTCAGCAAGCGATCTAACGAAAACGAGGCATGGCGTTTCAAAGATGAGATCGTGAGGAATTCTGGATTTTGTTCCAGTTATTCCAAAGTAATCCTCAAAGCCAAAATTCTTCCGACATCCAAAGCGCAATCTATAGTAACAAGATAGGACAGCGCAGGCTGCAGCAAAACCAACCTGCTGATTTGTTATAATACGCGCATTTGGTGATATTCCCCCATGTTTACAAATTAATCTCCTGTTTTGTGGCAGACCATTGTGTACCCTAGGAGAAGCGTGCTCCTTTATTCTGCAGCTGAGAAGCATGTGTCCGCGGTTACTGTGGTGCATACAAGGTGCCGTTTGGTACACACGGATCTTCGGTTTAAAACAGTGATGTCCCCTGAGTCCGATGCAGGACGCCAAGTCTTCCCAGGTTTGACCTCTGAGTTTTGAGTTTAAACCGTTTTGGTTATTTCGTCAGTCTCTTCGAAAAGGATTTCCGAATAGATCAATTTCTTGGAAGTTAACTTGTTCACCCCAGGATTACATGCACAGAAGTCGAACATTCAAGCCCCGACGAGTGTGAAAGCGTAGCAAACTGATCGGGTAATTTTGTCGGCAGTCGCCATTAGGACATTCGTGGCCACAACATCTAGATTATTATTAACTAATTCTTGGTGTTGTTAACTGCTCGAAAACGTACTATTCATCGTCCGGATGTAAAGTTTAAAGTCATTACTTCAAAACGTTTCCCAAGTAAGGACATCACAAATGGGTAAAAAACCTACTCAGAATCATCTGTCTTACTCAGTAGCAAGTCCCACCGCTACTCATGATCGATCTATGAAGAAAACTTTTTCTCTCAGAAAATCGATAGAAAAATTGATCATGCTTTGTGACGTTGACCAGTCCAACAAGACACGATGTGAAGCTACGACAGAGTGACAAAGAGTGATACTCTTACAAACAAAAGGATGTCGCATGGACGAAACCATTTCCTTCAGTGAGCGGATGTCACTCTGGTGATTGGAGCGATCGATAAAGTTCGACTTCTGCAAGTTATAATATTGATCTTTTTCAATAGCAAACTGACTGGCCAATACGTCAGAGGCCAAAATAGCAAGCTTGAACCATTTTTTCTAGTTAATGACCAGTAGTGGTACAACAGTGGCAAAACAATTCAATACTCACCTTAACCAGAAAGGTTAATGCATCAGTCGTTGGCCAAATGCTAAATGAATGAAACTGCTAAAACCTAAACTTAAAATTCCTTCGTGTACCTATAATGAACGTTGGGGATACTCCTATCGTTTGCTAATGACTAGCAGATTTCACAGTTGTCTAAAGAGAGATTAGAGGCCTTAGTATTCTTTCTTTACCCCTCTTATCAGATAGACTCGGAGGATTAGATCTCAGAATCGGATCAACTTTAAAATTTGAGGGAGAAAAACCACTTTCTTTATGCAAAGTACACGGGCTGGGAGTTTAGGAGTAAGTCGGACAGTCGGAAGAATGACGGTTACTCGGCTTGATTTAGATCGATTATCGCTGTCAGGATGAATGAAGAATGCGAGTAACGGCGCTTCACATCCCGTATTAAGATTGAAAGATCTTTTTCCACAAACTTTCACTCGACGGCAAATTCACAGATTGGTGCTTTAGCCTCACTACAGCTAACTGACATCGACTGAGCCTATTAGGCCAACTGAAATTCCACCAAAAGCATCTTTCACTCCTTGTATTTGACACCTGGTTTGTTGCCAGATTACAGAACTCCTTTGCCATGGATTCAAAACCTTCAAGGGCAAACATAATGTCTGTAAACACCGAAATTGATCCATGTGTTCTTACAGCTGAGTGTGCAGTAATGAATCGTAACGGGTTGATTATCGGGCCGGACCTAATCGCACGCCATGCCGAATAGCTGTTTACTGCCCCACTAGGTATGGCTGAATAAAATTTCACTTGAGGGTGACTTCCTCACAGTGATGCTGGTTCAGCATCGTTAGATAGCTTCCAACCGAGACTGATGCGCTCTGGATACCGAAGTTACACTCACCCAAAAAAGATAAGCTGGATCAACTGGAGTGGCCATTTTCGGAACAAAGTGAAAGATGAGCATGACATGACGTACTTTTACACAGGAGACACCGCAATTCCTTTAAGACATTCGCAAGAATAGATTAACCAGTACCTAGGAGGTTTACTACCTTAGTGCAGTCATATGACTTGCTGAGGAACGAAGCAGCCACTTACGGCATCTTACAGCATCCCACCGGCTATAAACTGTGTATCTCCAAAGAAACATCCAAGCGTAGAAGCACAGAGGAAGGAATTTGCAACGAGCATGCGTGCCTGATTTCTTGGAAGCTCTGTAGGGATATTAGGCGTAATGTATCTAGCACATATTTCGTACAAGGTGGTCGAGAAACTACTGATGGTCTTGGTTCGGCACACTTCGGGCAGCAGACCACCTTGGACATTAAATGGTGGGAGAAAAAGTCCGAATGTACCACTGGAGAAAGAAATGGTGCTTGTTACGTACAAAAAAACATTCCATAAGTTAAATGTTATACTTCCGTGTCGTTCAGCTGAAGCACCCTTTCAATGCCTTGCTGCTATGCCACTGGAAGATGGTACAAGGTCCGAGATAATGACAGGTCTCCCAATCCTAGACAGGGGAAATCGAGAGGCAGAGGTCGGTTTCGAACCACGGACGTTTGGGTCAGTAAGTCAGCGCACTCAGCAATCTCGCCCCACGTACTGCCATATGCTGGCCGATAAATCCTTAGACTAACCTTTTCATGTAATTTTCACTAGATTTGTCACTGCCTGATAATCAACTGCTCAAAAGGCGGAAAGCCAAGTTACTACTGCGAAATTACCTTTAATAGGAAAAGATCGAGACTCAGCGAATGCGACAACTCTGGTGCAGTTGGTAGTTTTATCCCTTTACGTAAAGAGCCAGTGTCATCACAAATATCACACGTGGTACCAGCGATGGTGTTCTCGCTGTTTGTGATAGAATTTTTCCTTTGACGAGCTGATTTCGCTAGTGTCACTCTATACTATCGGATATACACTGACTTAACTTTGTTCAGCACTAAGAGATCTCTTTCATCTCTATCCTGCAACGTGAGAAGAGATGAGGTTCAACCTCTATAGATATCACTGTAGTTTGATACTTAACTAAAATCAGGGGTTGTCGTAGATTATCAGGGTGTTGGCTTCATTCACTGCCGATTGGAATCAGCCCAGATATCATGGCCGACTCTTTTTAAAATCTTACGGAGTTGACCAGTCGGTAACGATATCTTTCCACACCAAACCTAAAACAAGAAGTTCGGAGCAGAGCTTCCGACAGCTACTAGTTAAATGTCGAGTCGATTTTTTAGCGGTGAATTCAACCAAAAATGTCTTATCGTTGAGTGACGATGCACCCAAACTTGAAACTCCTTACGCACTAAGACCTTGCCAACCCTGAACATCTGTCGGTAACCATGAAAAGAATCCCAAGGGTTACAACTGTAAATATCCATGAAAAGAATCCCAAGGGTTACAACTGCAAATACATACTAATTCAAAACCATGACAAATTCTGTGTTGGCAACAAGTGTTTGACTTCGGAAGTGGAGTAAACGGGGTGTAAATAGTTCGTCTGGCATGAAAAATCAGGACATTTCTTTCATTTAATCCGAGTAAGCTTCCGGAATGATTTCTAATAGCTACTTAGGCACCAAGACAAAGCCAAAAATACATTTATTTGCAGATTTACCTTGTGTTAACAGAAAACTTGGCCGACTCCCAGTTGAATCTTTACTCTACGATATCCTGATAACGATGTTGGAAACTCTGACAACACGCGACCGGTTTTGCCTCTCTTGGGGTCTGTCAGCTAGGTTCGTCCACCAATACCCAGATGGGTTCAGAAAGAGTATATTATACGACAAAGTAAATAACAAAATTTCAAAATATCAGGCAGAGATCAATGCCAGGACACTAAAGTTCACTGTGGAGTTATCCCGTTCCATAAACTTCTTGATTACCACACTGGCATCGTTCAGCAAAGTGTGTGGAGTTGAATTTCCATGAAGTATAGGATGCGAGCGTCGGCCGTCTAAAATGAATGTAGCAAACAGAATTTAATGACTCTTGAAATACACTCACACGAGGTAGGATATCGTCACTTTTATGGAACTCACCAAGCTCATAGAGGCTACCATCTTTTACCACAAAAGTTACAAAATGCTTTTGTGTGTCGCTTTCTCTGCACGGAGTTTGAGTTTGTCCCTCCATGGCCAATGTTTCGTGTATGTTGAATAGGTTCTTGTCCTCTTCCATTGCTATTCCTCGTTGATCTGGAGTCATTCCAGATGTCTTCTTCACAAAGTCACCCAGGACTGAGCCACCTGGAAATTTAAGCGAAATGTATTTTTGACCTGTGGTTATCTTCTACCCCAAATAGTCTAGACCAAAAGGACAAGGCTCACTTGCTGCATCCATTACTTTCGAATTGTTGCACAAAGCATGAAGAATGGCAACGGTGCCACAAGCATTCACGGCCGTTTGATGTATCAAGTAAACTTTGTCATCAGTGACCTCCTTACCCAACTGATGGGTCTTCTCGGCATTACTGAGAGGAAACAAGAGCATCACTGCTTCCACTGGAGTAGGGACAGTCTTCAAGGCTTCCTCGTCCAGTCCGTACACGTCGCGGAATTGCCATTTGTTTTCAACGCCTAGCTTGTGTAAATACTACGCGCCATAGGAGAGATTAAATTATACATACCTTGTTCAGCACATCAGGATTCGCTTCTAACGGTAGCCACCTCATGATGAAATAAATGTGAAGTAAGTTCACCAACTGACAGTGATGACCGTGATTTATAACAAAAAACAAAGCCGTAAGCCTGAGTGGGCAGCGATCCGCTTAACCAATACCGTAGACCGTCAGCTAAATTGAGCTGGTCAACCAGCCAATGAAATGTTGACAAGCGATGGAGCTTAAAACTGAGCCTCACCAATCGACGTCAAGCTGCCGCGAGTTTGTTTTCGCCTTCACTTACAGCCACGGGCTAGGATGGTCTCTGCTAAGTGTGGTCCAACGACCTTCGTGGCTTTTTTGCACCGACTGATTTTGGAAGTCGCAAGCTTTCCTGCGATTTCTCCAAATCAACACACATTGTCTGCTGCGTCAACAGGATAAGTGCGGCGAATACGTTCGGTCGGAAATCCAGAAAACTGAAAATGGTAGTTGGTCCATGTTTAGCTCAAAATTTTTCAGTTCTTCAAAACAGCGCGAAACACATTTTAACTCTATCTTATCTCTTCTCCAAACCTGAGTTCAAGCGGAATGAAAACCCGCCTTCGAACCAAAACACTCGCCAAGTAGCCCCCACTTCGGATTCTATACTGACCCACATCACAAAATCTCCACTGATCTAAGTCTGAATTTGATAAACTGACGGATAGCAAAACTGACACATGCGTCTGCAGTGGAAAATTGTTTCTGTAACAAAGCGAGAACCTTCTCCTGAAGCACCACTCGGACTTGATCGGAGGACCACACCACCACAATCGTTAAGTCAGCGAGCTCTTCTCATCAATTATGCTAGTGATTTTTCATATTGCGCGCAATGCCATTACGGCCATAAGTTGTTTTCGCATATGTACTCTCCTCATGACATGAATAAATTCTTCTCAACCCAGATAATCAATAAATATATATAAAAAGGAGCCAGCCGCTCTGATAGGAGAGGAGACTGAGAAAACGTTGAGCAAGAGCTCCTATTCAGCTACGTAAAAGGAGCTAAGAAAATGGCATTTTAGCCAAGTTACTGTATGATATTCATCCGTTTTTTCACCAAAAGTAAAACATTTTCAACTGCTTCTTTTTGTATGTACTTATCAGTTGATAGTTCAAAATATCCCAAGGTCAAACCCACATACAAACCACAGCTGATGTTTTTGTTGAGCTGGTTAAGCCTGAGTACCGTTAGTATGTCCGACATCAAAAGCCTTATTTGTTTGCAGCTCTTCTTAGGCCTCAAAGTAATAAAATGGTTTCTACCCATGAGAAAAATCAAGAATGAGTAGAACCAGTGAGTTAAGTCATCTGGATTAATTCGCCTGTCTGGCGATCTCGTGTTAGACCTTTGCACTCGAGTGAAGTATTCGGACAGAGTTTTGGGGGAACAAATCCGTCCTTCTCGGTAGCAAAATTGCGAACACAGAAGGTGATGACTTTTTTTCGGTTAATTTTGTTTAAGGCTTTCATTTAGTATTATCGTCCGACGAGATGGCTCAAGTGGTTAGAGCGCGAATTTACTGACCAGAAGGTCCATGGTTCGAACCCGACCTCTGCCTCTCGAATTCCCCTGTCTAGGTTTGGGAAACGTGGCAGTATACCAGCCCTCGTGCTTCCTTTGGGTGCCAGAGCAGTTAGACACCGAAAGGATGTTACAGCTGAACGATTAATATGGTGATCTAAGAACTTATTTTTCAATATTCGGACAAAGTAACTTCCACTTCGGCTGCGAGAACTACGTGACAGATTCAAGCAATCGACTACAGCTTCTAAGACGAATTCAAGATGGAGGCGGCCACATGAGGGATTCAAATTCTGGATCATGTTACTTTTCGTCATGGTGTCTCTCCCCCATAATCTCACTTTTTATTTCTGCCAGATACTCTGAGTACCATCTGAATCCGTTGCATAGTACATGAAAATTCTCCTGAATCATCCTCACAGGAAAATGTCTTGACTAAAATATAAACTACTCATTTCAAACCTTAAAAAATTCTGACCTTTCGCACAAATTGTTTGTGATAAACAGCTCATGATGTCGCTGGTTTCCTTCGTTGTGCAGCACAACTATGTGGTCTGACTAGCACTCACGAATATGTGCACAAAGCGTGGGATCTTCATAGAGAAAACTACTCACAAGATTGCTGAAAACTCTTCGACAGCCCACCACCGGTTTCGCCCTTCTTGGGGCTCATCAGGTAGGCGCGGTCCCCAAGGTAACTGATTACAACTTATGGGTGACGTGACTCGCTGTTGACTTAAAACACTCTGTCAAGTGTTGACGTTACCCGCAAAAACTTCCTAGACTACAAGTCATACAACAAGGTTTTTCGTGTCCTTTAGGAAGCAGTCTTTGTTGCGACAGGATTTGTCGCATTCAAAATAATACAAAGCATATTAGAATGGTGATTACTCAATGTTAGTGATAAGCTGCGAGAAAATCGGCTTCCTAAAATATCCCGACGTTTAAAAAAGAACACAGTGATGAGCATTACTGTTTTCGGGATCTCGTCATCGGGTCAGTACATATATAATGGTTGAAATAGGAGCGAACTATGAAATACGCAGCGAAGATTGGTTAGTGAAATGCAAAACGTGGAGACACGAATGACTGGTTTTCTGCGCCCCCATGTCGCATCTAGTTGAATGCTGTGGGACGGTCAAGAGGGCTGTTGAGTGACTTGGCCGGTTGATTCGTGTCACACGACCAAGGCAGACTCAGCGTTCGTACGAAACGTTTTTGACAGCACAGTACCGGATTTCGCAGGCGTATAGCGAGTGTCTCGGCTGTGGTCAAGCCACGCCATTGAGTAGATACTGGCAGTCTATTTGGTATACACGGCAAATGACTTGAAATGACTCACTTGGCATAACTACATGTCCAGTGTCAATTAGATGGGACGCAATCGAGCTTCTGGCTGAACTGTTGAGTCCAATGGTATTCCGGTAAAAGAGGTGCTCGCGTATTCTCTTAGAAAGTTGCCATGTCGTGCGCGTTACATACTCAACTGAACAACAGCAGGATAAAGAATACACAACCATATTCTGGGTGAGAGCTGGCATCTTGTCTTTGAGGTTTAGGTTGAGCAAAGGGTGGATTGTAAACCAAGACCGCAGAGTTCCAGCCGAAAACGTGCGTTTTAGGGATTGAAACGAGCGGCGATTGACTATGTCCGCCAACAGATCGCCTTTATGCGGCAAACTCAAGTATACTGGCTTCTTTCCAACGGTCGTGATAGACAGTTGGATTGCGCAATCGGATATATGCTTGGTTATAAATCTCTCCGGATAACCATTGGCTCGGAGCACGTTAGCAGTGAGCTGAAGTTCATAGTCCAGTGAATCAGCAGAGCAGATACGTTTTGATCGGTTCGTTAAAGTTTGAATCAGGGTTCGTTTCCGCCTCAGTGGCACAAAACTCGGGAAGTTTGTGTACTGTCCCGTCCATGTGGGCTTTCTGTAGACATACCTCGAACCCCTGGGAAGTCTGAATAACTTAACGTTCAGGAAGTGGAAAGCGTTGTCACTTTCAGTTTTAAAAGTGAACTGAAAAGAGATATGTGCTCGGTTGAAGTTGATCAGGAGAGCATTCATTTTGGAACCTTTTGATACTACCGTAAAAATATCATCTATGTACCTTCGGTCAAAGTGCGTACGTCTAATCTCACCATTCAATCGACCAAGCTCCAGTTTGCCCATAAATCGAATTCATTCACAATGCTCCTGGGAGTATTACGTTTACCACCTCTGGTAAGCCAATCAGAACATACGCACAAGATGAATGTTAACTCTATTGCCCCAAAGAAGCTGAAACTAAAAACAGGACCTTTTTGCCCGCACTACGAATTTTGTCCGCATACAGACAGTAAGCAGCTGGAATCTTAGCAACTGAACATGTTAGTGCTATTATCTTTTGCTCGAAGCAATATCAGAAGGTAAAATAACACTAACAATAAACATTTATGTATAGTGGTTACCAGAGACACTAGCACAATTGAATAATACATAAAAGGAATAAGAGTCTTATCGAGTTCTTCGTTTGATAAGTTGTAGTAAATGCAGCCGATGTTTGTAGGACGCAGATGAACTGAATGCGGGTCTTGACCGAGTGTGTTGAAATTTGGCCTGTTTCTTGTCGTTTAATCGAAATGATATTGAGTCCAGACTTTTCCCGTACAGTGAGTCGTGCGTCGGTTTTAACTGACTCTGGTCAAGGCGCTGTGTGAAGTGACGAGCGTCGGCATCCTGCTGTCTTTATTCCGCATATATATAAGTTTACGTTGTGAGTGAGGATGCGCTCGCATTGTTTGTCTTAGAGTAATATTCCAGTAACCTCGGTTAGTTGTGGGACGAATGTTCATGACAGTGGGTGTGCATGAGTTAAAAAACTGTGAGTGGTTGAAGGTAAACATTGATGAGGTAGTAACCGAACTGTGAAGGCGGTTGAAGATAAACGTTGAAGGGATGGTAACCGACAAACACCTGCGGGAAGTCGGTGCCTTTCAACCACTTAGAACGCAGCCGGACAGTCGACAGTGATGAGTTTGACGACAAAGTGCCGGACAATGGTCGCTTGCCATAAAAGCATAAGATTGATTACCTCCGAACACCATTCGTCTTCAAAAGGTCATAGAATCTAACTTAGTCAAAGATAGTATTTCAGTTTCCAAGTAATGTTTGCATTTTTTTCGTTACTCAGTTTGGTTCGTTGCAAAATCGATTGCTTCAGATAAATACGCGCATGACATTTGTATGCAATGTATGTTTACAATACAAGAACGCGTGTCTCTGAATTCAGTGGCAATCAACAGGGTGTCAAAATCAGAGTCGATGCGTTGAAAAACAACAAACGCTCAGTCTGCCCACGTATTAGGACATGAGAGTGATCAACCAACACAAAAGCAGTCCAGGGCTTTCACAGGTTTAGACTCGAACATGTGAAGATTCAGTCAGCTGATTGCGGTTTTCTTTTCTTCTAAATCAGCTCATCTAAAATCAAAACAAAAAAACCATCGCGGTATGCAACT